ACTAGATACACACATTCGGTCCGACGACCGAGGTTATAGATCAATATCGCATTGTTCAATGAAGAAAAATGTATTTCCAACTTTATCGGTATATGTATTAGTATCATAGTTATTATATCAAATACATAATTCAACTGTCATTGGTGGGCCCCTGTTTTACTCAAGCCCTATTAACCAACTGGTTTAAATCAATTGATTTTTTGCAAATTTTCCACAAATGTTTCGAAAATTTACAAAATAGAAAATGTAATGTTTCAAACCAAAGACCTCAAGTTTGCAAGAGTCGTGATTTTTCACTGGGATACCCCATTAATTCATATAATTGTTGTCTCCAAATATATATATATTACATACTTTTAAATTATATTTTTCAAAAAACTTTAATTATTTATTTGTCTTAAAATATATGACAAACAGAGTTTTAATGTTAAATAGAAATGAAAGACTATTTATATATTTAATTTTTAAGAAGAGAAAATTTGAGAATTATATATTTTAATTAATAAATGAATTTTAAATTTAGAATCTATTTTAACTTTTACACTTATAGTTGTATCTATACCTTTTTCAATAAAAAAATGTTTTGTCAACGAACCATCGATTGAACCAATGACCTTTTAACCTAGTGTTTTGGTCGGGTAAAAAAAAAGGTAATTAGCCCCAATACCCTAAAAAATGAATTGATTTGATAAATACTTTAATAACTAATTAAATCACTTCAGGACAATAATTAATACGTTATAAAATCCAAAACCTATAAAAAAAACCCATATATTTATCCATAATCCCCACTGTAAACCGCAAGCACTATTTCATCCACCTAAAACCGTCAACTTTTAGCAAAATTCATCCAAAATCACAGAGAAATTGAAAAATGTCAATGATTCCGAAATTTTGAGTGGTGTTATTGAGTGGTGGGAATGGAGATTTTACAAAAGCTAGGTTGCGAGCTAGATTTGAGCGCTAAGCTTATAGGATTGGGAGTTATATCCACGAGGTATGCTATGTATGTGGAAGATAGGTTGTGAAAATCTTGAATTTAATTTAGAGGATGACGCCTTCAATGTTAGCAGTGCTGAGGATATGCTCAAGGTCATTTAAGGGTAATTTTTTTCCCCTATGTTTATTTGAACTTTTCAAATTGAGTTTTTGTTGACTATGATGAAGATGAGAATGATATTTATATGAATAAATGTGGTAGAGTCACGTAGACATTCAGATGAAATCCATGGGCTATGTTTCCTCTGTGTTGGAAATTTATAGTTTGAGTGAAAGTTGTTTGGCTTTCGATTATATTGCCTCATTAATTAGAAATCTCATGTTTATTGCATTGTTTAGTTGAAGTGTCCTTGCAGAGGTAACTTTATAAATACAGATTATGTATGGTCTGAATATAAGTTTTGAATGTGGATAATATGTAGATTACTCTTTTAAAAAGAAAAAAAAATTCTGAAAGTCTCTATGTTTAGTAAAATAAATTATTGTGATTGTATCGATATGGTGAAGATATTTAGATGTACAACTTAGTGGGTACTCATATATGTACATTCAAGTTAGTTGTGCTTGTGCATAAGATAGTTGTATCGGTCTTTTTATATAAATTTTCAAACGAACATGTATGCATCTAGTCAAACAAACATGTATGCATCTATAAATTTTCAAACAAACATGTTGTGCTTGTGCATAAGATAGTTGTATCGGCATTTAGCATCTAAGACTTCGGCAATTACCAATTAGAAGCGATTAAATATCAAAACGTTAGTACATGATCAACCGCAAAACAACTTCCTTAATCTATTATTAGATTTTCTACTTCTCATGAACAACAACATGTGGAGTTCTTTTTCTTTTCTCTTTGATTAAAAATACTGTTCTTTTGCAGGAAATGCTGAGTGGAAACACTGCAGTAATTGCAGAGACAGGAGATTCATGGTTCAATTGTCAAAAGCTTCGTCTCCCTGAGAATTGCGGGTAAGCTAGGCTTACGATCAAATATTGATAGTTTTTGGACCATTTTTATGAAGTTGAATTAACATTTATCGGAATCACTCTCTATAACAATCTTCATCTTCATTTTATTATTTAATTCAACCAAGTACTTTAACTGTATGAAAATCCCTTCCAATTATGCAAGATTCCTTTTTATACAGGTATGAATTCCAGATGCAGTATGGATCCATTGGGTGGTCAGTGGTTGCAACTCTTGGTTATGCTCAGGCTGCAAAAGATAAGCGCGTAATAGCCTGCATTGGTGATGGAAGTTTCCAGGTTCGTGATCATACCTATACAAGTATGTTTTCATCAAAACAGAAAATTACCGATAGTGCTAAGCAAATTTATTTTAAAAAAAGATTGTCACTTTCATCTACTATGAAATACACAAGCTGTGAGAATTGCCAGGAGGATCATTGACCAATAACTGCTATTACTCAGGTTACTGCTCAGGATATTTCGACCATGATAAGATGTGGACATCCAACCATTATATTTCTCATCAATAATGGAGGATATACAATTGAAGTAGAGATTCATGATGGTCCATACAATGTGATCAAGAATTGGAACTACACTGGCCTAGTGGATGCCATCCATAATGGTGAAGGCAAATGCTGGACTACCAAGGTTAGCATAGCCAAAGATTATTCTATTTCTACAACCACAAAAACGAAAAAATAAAGGAAAAAAAAGGGCGAGTAGAACCCGAAAAGAATAAATGAATCTTTATGTGACTATCCCTGTTTCACCCCCATTTTCTAAAACTCATTTTAAAAAACACAGTTCATGGGATTCACAACTTTCATCAACTTTTAATCATAAATTTCATCAACTTTTATCAAATTTTAATCTAAACCAAACAAGGATACTATCGTTTATATATTCCCATATTAATGTATAATCAACGTTTAATTGTTTATCAATAATGTATTTCTGTCACGACCCATCACAAGTCACCCTAATAGACCTGACACGTGTCGTGCGCCGATAGTAGATACCAACAAAGTG